AGGGGTCGTGCTCTGGCTCTTGCTCCTGTGCTGGCTTTTGCTCCTGCTTCTGCTTGCGTCTCTTGCGCCTGCTCCTGCTGCTTTTGCTGTTGCTCCCGCTCTTGCTCTTGCGTTTTCTCTTACTCCCGCTCTTGCTTTTGCTCTTGCTGATGCTCCCGCTTTTGCTTTTGCTTTTGCTCTTGCTCCTGCTGTTGCTCTAACTCCTGCTCAGGCTTTTGTTCTTAGTGTGCTCTAAGGGTATTTGGAGCCTCGAAACCCGTAAACCCACGTACACGTTCTTTCGTTGCCCAGGTCATTACTTTCCAGGTTACGGTCACCTGCCACGCCCTGAGCCACGGTGCTAGGGTGTTGGGTTAACATGGGACTAAGGGAAATTAGGTTTGGAGGTACATTGAACCATGCCAAGGAACGGAAAGTATACGACAAGAAAATACACTCACGGATTATCGACTGTTCAGACCCTCACGGGACCTTGAACCAGGTGTCAGAAGCATAACGGGCTTGTTTGGCAAAAGTCCTTCTGGCTCTACGTCTAGTTCTATACATCAAGACCCTGCAGTCGAACGCTCAAAACATAGGCTGTAGGGGTACAGTACAGTAGCTGCTTTGGCGTCCTTAACATGAGGGTCCTACTATATACGTAATTATGTACGTATGTATATGTATATGTATGAGAATATTCAACTATATCTATCTTTATTCATACAGAGAGAGACAGAGAGAGAGAGAGAGAGAGAGAGAGCGAGTCAGGGTTCTAGAATCGCGTCCCGTGTTTTCTGAAGATCTGGACTTCGAGCCTCCAGTCAAAAATGGAGTCGGAAGATCATGGTTTGTCTACCAACGAAGGCAACATAAAGGGCTTAGGGTTTAGGGGATCATAGCTGTCGGAAGAAGTACCGTTTGCCTTGGCCCCAAGCTGGACACTGTAGCCCTGAAGCTCAAACTCAAACCTCGGGGGTAAACATCCTAAAGCCCAGAACCCCAAAACCCCCGAAAATTCCTTTACACCTCCCAAGCCCTAAATCGCATAGTCTCTCAGCAAAGCTTCCCCGCTTCCTCCACGCAACCAGCCCCCCAGTTCAGCGGCAGAATCTTCACATGGCCTTCCAAGCCATGAAGGTCCAGTCAGGGTTTTGATTTGGTTTAGGGTTTAGGGTTAGGGAAAATCAGATTGATCTAAACAGCAGGCTGGGGCTTGCGGGTTTCGCCTGCTTTGGGATCTCGATTTCGGGAATTTCGGTGGATCAGGGCGTGGTCGAAGCCAGGCACGGTTAGGTGGCTACGAGCCCCTTACACCCTAAACCCATAAACCGTAGGAGTCCATGATTTGGGGGTTCGGGGCTGTTTGGTGAGGTTGCGGGGACTCCGAGCTGGTGGCGTTTGTTTTTAAAGCCGGGGTTTGGGATTAGGCTGTGACGGCTGTGAGGTGGGGGTTTGGGCCTTCCTGTCTCTTATGATATACATAATTACATAAATTTAAATCATAAGTTACATGCGCACACACACACACACACACACATATATATATATATATGTACATGTATATGTACGTGTATAGATATACATGAAACCCTCGGAGTAACAGCGCGGGATCGGCAGTAACAGCGCAACGCTGCCAATTAGTGGCTCGAGCAGCTATGACGGACGGTCCAGAGGGGGGCGTAGGCTTCATAACTCCCCCGTGCCGTTTTTCCGTAAGTAGCTCGCCAGAGCCCGAACCTGCGGCTGCTGGGGTCTTTCTGGCTCGCTTACACATCTGCCAAGTCCCATAGCTTCTTTATTTGAGTGCCAGGTGGCTGCAGGTAATGGCATTTTGCCAGAAAAGGCCCCTGCTGAAGCCCGACGGCCTCACACTGGCGTTTTTCTGATGTTTCAAGCTGTTGCCTTCGAGGCCGAAGTCATCCGTCTTTGCCTGACCGACGACGAGGCCCGCAGCCTGCACGTTACGCAGGTTGGCTTGACTGGAAGCACATAGAAGTGCGGTTTTCGCAGAGATGTTGTGGTGGCCAGAGGTTGTCGGCTCTGGGATTTCAAGCCGTGAAGCAGTCATGAACTCACGTAGGGACGACGTAGGGTAGTTTGACTGGAAGCATGAAGGAAAGCGGCTTGGCAGGGATCTTGCCCATAACGTTTCAAGCCGTCAAGCAGGCAAGAATTCAAGCTGGAGAGAGACGATGACGAAACAAAGTAGACCTTGAATGCTGTTTCGTTAAGAAGGCAGCTCAACATGCTTCACTCGGCTCTTTGAGTTGTCATGGCCGAGCCCGCGCCCGCCGAACAGGATGCGCCCAAGCATCCGCGGAAGACCTACAAGCCACACGGAAACGACTTGCGGTTGCAGGTCGATGTGCCCCCGAAAAAGCAGGCCGGCTTGCAGGATGACATCCTGGATCAAGCTTTCAAGAAGTGCTGCAAGACTTGGATGCAGCGAGAGGACACGGAGGTGGGGCAGTTGACCACTCCCTGGACTGTGCGTGGCAAGGACGGGAAGGAGTGGCGCTCGAGATGCATTTGCATCGAGCATGAGGAGTGCCGCCAGAGACGTGGGCGAGCCCTTCAGATTCATGGCCAGATGACCCGCAGCGCCGACGGTGCGTCTGTTGCCGTCAAGCTGACCATTATGAGCTGCGGCGACTGTGGCACCACACCGAGGAAATTGCGGGCAGACTCCTGTGCCGAAGACCCGGCCACCTTCACTGGACGTAAGCGCGTCCAAGAGGCTGTCCAGGCCCTCGCCGCAGACGACGAGACCGTGACTCCTGTGCGCGTGGCTCGAAAGATAGCGTGCCAGGAGCTGCCGAGCATGAACCCTGACTCGCTGCGGTACTGCACACGCAAGTTTCGCCCGCCACAGGAGCAGGCCACAGGAAGGCGACAGATCGCAAGCAGCAACCTTGCGTTGCCGAAGTGTCTCGTTCTGAATGGGAGGCGTTTGTGTCCCAGCATTCGGACGGCACAGGGCTCCTCCAGATTGTGCACACGTTGCCCTCCGGCAGCTTCGTTGGCTTTCTGCCTCCCATGCTGCAAGAGCTGAACTCGCTGCATCTGCAGGGTCGTATGGCGGAAATTTACCTTGCAGCCGATGCCACCTTCGACGTCGAGGCCGATGGCTTCAAGTGCCTCGGTTTTGCAGTTCAGTCAGACTGCTCCCCTCCATCCCGTGCCTTCTCCATGCGATGAGACAGGAACCTGACTGCATTATGGAGAAACGCAGCGGACCAAAACGCTTTTTCCTCATGCTGACGGGTCCACCTCGTGCCCCTGCACTTGTGTGAGGTGGAGGTGCTCTGGCAGTCACTGCAAACAAAGAGCTTGGATGCGGTGCGTGATCTACTTGGTCGCAGCGGAGCCACTTTTTCGTGCCGTCTCCACCGAAGCAGCCGAGCATCTCTCTCCAGCCCACCAAACGGGTACCGATTTTGGGCTGTTCTTCTTTTGGGTTGTTGTCTCGGGGGGAGCAAGCCGTCGAAGAGATAACCGATTTTTGGCTGTGCTGTTTCCGATTAGCGAGGCCTTCTATCGTCTGCCATCGGTGGCTACGTGGCTGATTCCCAGAATCACACAGGCCTGTGTGTGGGTGTGTGTGCGCAGCAGCACGCAAACGCCGCAACAGAATTGTAAGTCTTACCGTACCCAGAGGACGACTCAGATGATGATCAGCCGCTCTCGCGGTCCATGCGTCACATCCTGCAGCCGCCGGAGATTAAGCAGGACTCGTTTTTCAGCAGCAGGGTTGGAAAGGGTTGGGCGTTGGGGTACGGACCCATGTTTAGGGGCGAAGAAGCTGTCGGTGGCTCGGTCCGGGTTTAGGTCCAAAGTTGATAACTGTTCATGTGCTTTCCACAGGAGGATTCAACTGAAGATGGTCCACGCAAGCGGATGTTGGAGAGTCAGGACTTGTCCTGCGAACTTTCGGTTGTTTCACCAGTCAGAGAAGCTTGCAAATGCATTTGCTGAGTGTCCTTTCGTCATCTGCAGGACGTCGTTCACGTGACGGTGTTCATGGAGAGCAAAGACAAGCCCAAGGCTTCCTTGCGGGTTGCTAGAAGTCCACCCGATGCTGTGAGGTTGGCAACTCCGCCTGGCACGCTGTCACGGGTTCCGACTCTGCCACAATTTAAGCAGTTTCAGTTATTCCAGTTCATGGTTCATGATACAGGATGTAAGTTTTCGGCTGGCGATTGACGGTGACGGTTTTTAAATATGTGGGGGCCGGGCCGCCCGGCAGCCGCTGAGATCTAGTATGACATATCTGTTTTATACTGTCCGCATACTTAATCCATATAATATTCACAATCACCCACAAGCCCAGTTCAATCAGAAGGCAAAAGGTTGCAGGAAGGTTGTTAACACCACTTTGAGGGTGGGACAGCGCCACTTAGCGGGACAACACCCTTCTGGGGGACAAGACCACTTTGGGGGACAACACCACAACAACACCACTTTTGGGGGATAACACCACGTTTGGGGGGCAACGCCACTTTGGGGAACAACACCACAACACCACTCTGAGGGACAACGCCACTTTGGGGGGACAGCACCACTTTTAGAAACAACAACACCTTGGAGGAGAACACCACTGTGGGGGACAACACAAGTTGGGGGAACAGCACCATTTCGGGGAACAACACCATTCTGGGGGACAGCACCACTTAGCGGGACAACACCCTTCTGGGGGACAAAACCACTTTGGGGGACAACACCACTGTGGGGAACAACACAAGTTTGGGGAACAGCACCGCTTGTCCACTTTTGGGGACAACACCACTTTGGGCGGCAGCGCCACTGTGGAGGACAACACCACTTTTGGGCACAACACCACTTTGGGGAACACCACTTTGGGGGACAGCGCCACTGTGGAGGACAGCACCACTTTTCGGGACAACACCACTTTGGGGAACAACATCACAACACCACTTTAGCTAAATGACAAGGAGGGTTTGAGCCCATGGACTTCGGCCTAGGCTAAAGTCAGTCTCCAACCTATCCCACTTCGCTAGCCGGTTACTGAACCAATTTTCCTGCCCTTCCGAATTCTTCGCTGGCCGTGCCATGAGCCCTCCACCGCGTGTTTGAAAATTAGCACGTAAATAGCTGCTTAAACTGTTTTTTGTCCGCATATGTAAAAAGCGTCGCCGCTGGGCTTGCTGTTTCGTCGAGGCAGCCACGAACAAAGGAAAACCGACGGAGAGCAGTGAGCAGGGAGAAGCCCAAGGCTTCCTTGCAGTTGCTAGTTGGTAACTTAGCTGGGCTTGCTGTTTCGCCGAGGCAGCCGCGAAGAAAGGAAAGCCGACGGAGAGCAGGGAGAAGCCCAAGGCTTCCTTGCAGTTTTCGGCACGTAACTGGTCAGGACGGAATTTGCTGGGCCCTAGTGCTAACACTGTCTGGAAGGACATGGAAAAGACAAGGAAGCAGCCCGAGGCTGGTTCCAGAGGCGGGTTGTTCAGAATTTCCTCTCCAAGCGAACATCCGGCACCAGGCAAGTGCTGTGGTCAAGAAGAAGCAGCCGAAGGCGGCTTCTAAGCCCCAAAGCGACCTGTTCACTATTGCCCTTCGAAACAAAAACCCAGCAGGATGCGCCTGCGTTGGTCCGAAGGAAGAAGCAGCCCAAGGCGGCCTTGTTCCCTGAACCCTAACCCCTGAATCCTAAAACCATGCGGATCTCATCCCGCACGGTTTTTCGTTTGCCGTCCAGGACTGACAAGTGTCTCCAAGATTCATGGATAAGCCGTGGAGTGGAGAAAAAGCCTGGCCAAATCGAATTGCCACTTTTCCACCTTCTTGCTTTGCGGTTTTGGTTGCTCGGGTTCTTCGGGTCTTGGGGTTTGCTGCTTGGTTGGTTCCTCAGGTTCCCTTGGTCGGGTTCGTTGGGTTTCCTAGCCGTCTGTGGAGGCGCACCTGGCGGATGCCAATCGTAGCAAACTTGCTTTTATATACATTCTCCGGCTTATACTCCAGCCAATCATTTGTTTCCATATTCTACTCCGGCTCATATTCAGCCAATAACTTGTTTCCTTTCGTCGCTCCCTCTCTTCTCGCGCATCTGCGTGATGCCAGTTGAACTATGTTTTTTAGACATGCTCCGGCTTATACTCCAGCCAATAACTTGTTTCCATATTCTGCTCCGGCTCATATTCAGCCAATAATTTGTTTCCAGTACACCAGTTCGGGTCTCGTGTTGCGTACTAATGCCCCACCCATTGCGCTGTTGCTGCTCCTGCCTTCTGCGTCGTTACTGCCCCCTGCTTCTCGCGCAGTTATTGCACGCTCTCGATATACATGTATGTATTCAAACACACTTACACTCACGTACATATACCAAATAGTATATCAAGTACACATATCGTTCAAATGCGGCTTCAAGAGTAGGTCTTAGAGCCTTAGATCTTCGAGTCTTAGCCATGAGATGCCCCAACCACCTTTGCCCGAAGTCGGTTCGGGCCTTGCTTAGAAACGAACTCCTTTGCGATCGACTTTTCAGTTTAAGCTTTGGGGTTCAGGGTTTAGACCTTAGGGCGACGGCAGTTCCGGCGGGCGACAGAAGCCTCCTGCAAAAGGGTTTAGGGCTTAGAAAGTTTAGGGTTCAGGGCTGAGGGCGACAGAAGCCTGCTGCAAAACGGGTTTATTTAGGGTTCCTTGTTTCCCTAAGCCCGAAACTTCAGGGTTTCAGCGTTTAGGGTTTGCTTTGCTGAAACTCCCTGGTCGTGCGAAGCTTTGCCCTTCCCTGAGCCCGAAGACCCCTAGACCCTACAACCGCTGGGCCCTTACTAAACGCTGACACGGAAACCCTAAACTCTTGCATTTATATTGAAATCCCTACAGCCCTTGGTCAGTGTAACAACTTTTGCAACCTAACAGGCCCTTAAACTTGTTTTTCCCTTGTAAAGCTCTATACGACCTTCATCAAACCATGAAGTTTTGCTGAGGTCCCCAAACGAGGCTGTCAAACACCGAAGCCAGGCGGTGGGCGAAGCCTCGAACGACGCGCCGTCGATTCTCACAGAGCCCATGATTTCTGCCGGCCGCAAGGCGTGAACCCCGGGTTCGGGTTCGTGATCTCCGGATTTTCAGGGCACAGAGTTCACGCGTTGAGGATTTAAGCTTCAGGGCGCACGGTTCTAGAGTTGTGTGAGCGCTGGTCAGCTAAACGACTCCCGGGGAGTCTGGGGTTCAGGGTTCGTAACTCATCGCCCCGTAAATCCTGAATCCTACACCCCATACCTTACGAACAGAGTTTGCATATCAGCATCCGGTTAGGAAGTAGCTGAGCAAAAAGCCCCGAACCTTAATCTAAATCAGATCCAGGAGCCAAAGGTCGCATATATGTCTGTCGGTATATATGTATGTGTGTCTGTATGTATGTA